TCCTTTGTTAAAGAATAGAGAACAAGATATGTGTCGAATTCTTAAGAAGCTCAGACACTTTAACATCTCAGTTGTCATTTGTGTACAGACAGCAAAGAGTTTAAGTAAGGATGTAAAGAGAATACTTACTGACATTATACTTTTCCCAGGATTGTCAGAAGACGATTTCATGGAACTTATGAAAGAGTCCATGGCAGGTAAGTTTGACAGATATGAACTATGGGAGAAGTACAAAGTCATACAAGACCCTCATACTTCTTTCAGAATTCATATCTACGCAAACAAAGTTCAAATTGTAAAAAGTCAAGCGTAAAAATGTAAGTGTTTAGTCTTAGTCTGTTGTGGTTCTGCAGCTTTCGGTTCTTCTGGCTTTGGAAGACATTCAGGAAGAGGAATGTCAGTCGTCCGTTTGTGTCCTGTCGGAAGGAAAAACTCGGAATGTCGGAAGGAAAAACTCGGAATGTCGGAAGGAAAAACTCGGAATGTCGGAAGGAAAAACTTTTTCTGTCGGAAGGAAAAACTTTTTCTGAAGTTCGACCAAAAAGTTCTCAATTTTCGAAAATTTGAATGGTTTACGGACGAACAACAGGAAATTTTTTTCCAGTTGTCAGGAAATTTTTTTCCAGTTGTCAGGAAATTTTTTTCCAGTTGTCGGGAAATTTTTTTCCAGTTGTCGGGAAATTTTTTTCTTGTCGGAAGGAAGGACTCGGAATGCCAGAAGGAAGGACTCGGAATGTCGGATGGAAGGACTCGGAATGCCAGAAGGATTTGACAAGACAATTTACCTTATAGAGCTACCTGAGCCATCTTTGGTGTCAAGCTTGAAAAATAAAGATTGAAATTTACTCTGCTTGTTTGAAGTTGTCAAAATACTCTGTTATTTTTTCTTTCAGTAGCGGCAAATCTTCTTTGAAGGTAAGAATTGTACAACCTTTCATATCATAGTGTGTTTGAGGTAACGTATCTTGAACTATTTGTTTCACATCTTCATTTGGGGTCATTGAAATCGGTAAGTTTTCGCGATAGAACCAATTTCTGTCAGATTTGTAAATCTTAGCAAGGTCGTAAAAGCTTTTGTTGTTTCTTCTGACTAAATGCAACATAACCATATCTCTGTCTTCTTCATTTTCCATCTCTTCAGTATAAATCATATACTTATAGTTCTTTTCCTTTCCTTTTGGTACCGAACGCGGTATTCTTTTCTGAATGCTTTTGTCTTTTGCTTCAAGCTTGTTCTCTAGCTCTTCACGTTCTTGTCTATGAATTTCGTCAAGAAGTTTACAAACATACCAAGCATAACGAGGTGAAGCCCACATTGCAACAGCATTTACAAGAAGTCTATGTACATAATATCCTCTCAAACCGTTTGGCAATTTTTCACGATTTTCATGAGTTTTAGGCGAGTAAGATTTTTTACTTACTCGCTGTTCTTCACTGTTTTCAGAAAAAAGTATGTCTCGCTGTGCTTCGCTCAAAAATTCTTGTGTGCTTTGGTTCCTAAACCAGTCTTGTGGTTTCTTAGTATCTGGTGCAAAACATGCTGTCAAAATACTTTGCATTTGGTACATATCGTCTTTGACCGAACGAATGAGACGGAGTTGTTTGTTAAACTGAACCCACTCATATTCTTCATTTATAGCTTCATGGACTATAACTGTTGTTGTGTTCTCTGATGTTGACATATCTGTCTTTACATACAAAATAAAAAAATAAAAAAAAATAAAACTAACTTTATTTTTTCTATCTTGTATAAAAGATATGATTTTCATACGGAATTCAATAAAAATAATGTTTAGGTGAAGAGGTGCGATCTCACCTCCTTTTTCACCTGTTTTTTCACATGGTCTAAAACATACAAAACTCATGAAATTTGTGCTGAATTCAGCAAAAAATAATGTTTAGGTGAAGTGGTGCGATCTCACCTCTTTTCTCACCTCTTTTTTTTTATAAGCGTTTTACATGGTAAACGTTATTTTTACATGTATTTTTCAGCAACTTCGTCAAATAATTTTATAGCACTATCTATCTCATCTACTTCAAACGTTTCTTTACCTTTTATGGGAGCACCATACATTTTCTCAAACTTTTCAAGTAGTTCTGTTTCTGCAGCTCTCATATCATTAGCAAACACAACCTTGACTCTATTGACTATACTGTCATATCTTAGAGTTATATTATATGTTCTTCCTATCTTATATCTCTTTGTGTTGAAGTCCTTCGGTTTCTGAACGATGTAAAGTAAGCCTTCACTGCAACGTTCCGTATCGAATGAACCATGTGTTATGAAGTTATATCCAACAACTGGGTCTAACCATAACAAAACTATTGGTATAAGACTTTTGTCGATGAGATATGCTGCAGTTCCATAGAATCTTACCGATATCAAAAGCTCAGGATTTCTTGTCAAAATTTTCTGAGTTGAAGCAATTCTAACCCAGTCCTGCGGTCTCTTTCCAGATGGAGATATAATGTCTGACAAAGAATATTTGTTGTATTTCTTTGAGTATCTTACGTTTAAATCACCTATTCTAACCACTTTGGTGTCATTGTCTATCTTTCCAACTGTTTCAAACTCAACCTTTAACATTTTCTGTTCTTACATACAAGATAAAAAAAATATTTTTTAAAAAACTAACTTTATTTTTTTTTCTATCTTAAGGAAATTCATGATTTTCATACAGAATTCGGCAAAAATAATGTTTAGGGTAGAAGGTTAGATCTAACCTCTTTTCTAACCTCTTTTCTACCCTCTTGAATTTGTCATGAATTTTCATGAATTTTCATGAATTTTCATGATTTCATCGTAAATGTTTTGCTTCGTAAATGTTTTGCTTCGTAAATGTTTTGTTGAGATTTCTTCATCGAAATGAGCGTAAAGGACCCAAAAATAATGTTTAGGGTAGAAGGTTAGATCTAACCTCTTTTCTAACCTCTTTTCTACCCTCTTGAATTTTCATGAATTTGTCATGAATTTTCATGAATTTTCATGAATTTTCATGATTTCATCGTACATGTTTTGTTGAGATTTCTTCATCGAAATGTTTTGTTGAGATTTCATCGTTTATGTTTTGTCAAGACTTTCTTCGTAATGAGCGTAAAGGACCCAAAAATATATTTTAGGGTAGAAGGTTAGATCTAACCTCTTTTCTAACCTCTTTTCTACCCTCTTGAATTTTCAAGACTTCTTCGTAAATGTTTTGTCAAGACTTCTTCATCGTAATGAGCGTAAATCAGACAAAAATATATTTTAGGGTAGAAGGTTAGATCTAACCTGTTTTCTAACCTGTTTTCTACCCCAGTTATTTTATAAGCGTTTCACATGGTAAACGTTATTTTTGGAATTTTGTGAAAACTCAACGGTTTGACACAAGCCCTAAAAATTATTTTACTCAGAATTTTATACAGAATTCAATAAAAATATATTTTAGGGTAGAAGGTTAGATCTAACCTCTTTTCTAACCTCTTTTCTACCCCAGTTATTTTATAAGCGTTTCACATGAATTGTACGATGTATATTTGAAATCCTAAACAATTTCGTAGCTTCTATTTCTTCTTTTAGTATGTCAAATGTTTTAACGATACCGAAAGTTTCTTTATACTTCTTCTTGACATCAGATAGAAGGAAATCGTCTGCTGTTGGATAGTTTTTGTTCAGAAATGCTAACATGTCCATTTTATTTTCTGCTGGCTTTTCTGCTTCTTTCTTTAAGTCTGCATAGTCGTTTCGCATACGTTCTATCTCTTTGACGGAGTAGTTATATTTCCTCATTGCTGCTTTACATTTTGAACATTGCGGGTTCATTTTTGCGTTATATTCTGAAACCTTACCTGCTAAAACAACCAAGGCGTCAATGGTTTTCTTTAAATCTGAAGCAGTTGGTCTTATCTGTTCGTTCCATATTTTACCTCTTCTATCTTTATCTCTTATCTGCCATACACATTCAGCAACTAACGAAACAAAGTTGTCGTAGGTCTTAAACTCCTCCGATTTATATATGTCAGAAATATTTTTATATACCATATCGCAATCTTTGTCCATAACCTTATGGTTGCAATGAAAACCAAGGAACTCATAATTTACCTTTCGTATGAACTTCTTTATTTCTACTGAGTCAGTCAGTCCGACTTCTATTTCATCGAATTCTGGAATAGTAAGCTTTTGTTGTTGGATTTCAGGAAGTTTAGGTAGATGGTCAATAATATCCTGCATGTCGTAAAGATACTGTTCATTTTGTTCATCTTTCGCACTACAGTCTAAATTACTTGTTAACAGTTCTTGCTTTATCTTCTGGATTTCTGTTTCGAAAGTATATGAAGAAGGAATGAAGCTTTTCATCTCTACTAACATAGATGTTGGATTCATGACTAACGAGTTTGGTGCTGTTGTTTGAATTGCTGTTGTGCCGATTGTTGACATTTCTGTTCTTTTATACAAAATAAAAAAATAAATAAAAATAAAACTAATTTTATTTTTTATTTCGGGAAAATTCATGAAAATTCAAGAGGTTAGAAAACAGGTTAGATCTAACCTTCTACCCTAAATTATATTTTTGGTGTAAATTTCATGAGTTTTCGAGAGTTTTCGAGAGTTTTCTACGATGGTAGAAAAGAGGTTAGAAAACAGGTTAGATCTAACCTTCTACCCTAAATTATATTTTTGGTGTAAATTTCATGAGTTTTCGAGAGTTTTCGAGAGTTTTCTACGATGGTAGAAAAGAGGTTAGAAAACAGGTTAGATCTAACCTTCTACCCTAAATTATATTTTTGCTGAATTCAATAAAAATAAATGGTTCATTTACTCACAATATTTTTGTACAAAACAACCCCAAACTTTTAACTTCTTTGCTGCAGCTTCTAATGCTATCTTAGCGAGTTCATATTCTCTAAATTCTCTCTTTAAATCTTCTTGTTCCCATTGGTCTAGTTCGTATGGAGAATCTCTATAACCATAACATATCTCACGTTCATGTTCTATTTGTTTAAGCACATTTTTCTAACTTCTTGTTCGAACAAAGGTTTAGCATTCTTTACTGTATCTTCAAGTTCTTCTTCATCTAATTTCTCATGAACTTTCTTGTCTATGGAGTCCAGAATTTTTCCAACTGCTATACAATATTTTGGAGAAGCCCACATTGCTATATAGTTTACGAGTCTTGGGTCTACATACATTCCTCTAACCTGTTTGATTTCATCAGAAATTCCTGCATGAATTTTGTATAAAAAGCAACCCGCTGTTTTCCGCGGGTTGGTATATTCTTCACAAAATGCCTTAAAATACTCTTCCCAGGACTTATTTTCCAACAACCTTCTAAAGTCTTTCCTAAACTGCTGACACATCTTTGTTGCATTTATATAACCATCCTTGTCTCTACGTAAGACTTCAATACCGTTGTAAGTGCCTTTTGTGAATGTTTCGCCATTAGATTTGTTCGTGAACGTTTTTGCTTCGACTGACATTACTGTTCTTACAATAAAAATAAAAAATATTTTTTGGTGGGACGTCGGACATTCGTTTGTGGCTTAACCGTCGGACATTCGTTTGTGGCTTAACCGTCGGACCACAACGATAAAAATCTCGACAAAACATATACGATGAAGTCTCAACAAAACATTTACGATGAAGTCTTAACAAAAAATATACGATGAAATCTATTTCCTGTGTTGTTGTCAAAATGTCATGTTGTCACACTTTTTCAGAGAAGTTAAAATGACCGAGTGACCGAGTGACCGAGTGACCTGGTCGCCTAAAATATATTTTTTTCTATCTTAAGGAAATTCATGAAAATTCACCTGTTGAATTTTGTATAAAAAGCAACCCGCTGTTTTCCGCGGGTTGGTATATTCTTCACAAAATGCTTGTTTTGAGGTCGAGCCACTTTTGGCTCCACCGTATTCTTTCAACCAAAATATATTTTTGTCGAATTCAGCACAAAATTCATGAAAATTCAAGAGGGTAGAAAAGAGGTGAGAAAACAGGTTAGATCTAACCATCTACCCTAAATTATATTTTTGGGTCATTTACGCTCATTACGATGAAGAAGTCTTGACAAAACATATACGAAGAAATTCATGAAAATTCATGAAAATTCATGAAAATTCATGAAAATTCAACGGGTGAAAAAACAGGTGAAAAAAGAGGTGAGATCGCACCACTTCACCTAAACTTTATTTTTCAATACTTTTTCAGCACTTTTCCGTAGTTATATATGAAAGACAATTCGAGATAAAAGTCATAGTACAATGGAATAATATGTTGCACACCATTTGTTGTGAACCAAACTTGAAAGTCAGAGAAACTGTTACTAGGTGGTTCGTAGAATTTAGAAGCAAAGTCATAAAAGTCCTTACCAATACATAGAAAACTATTGTTGCTTGAACTGAAACTTGCATGACACATAACATTTTGAGGGTCAAACACGTTTCTATAAACCATCAAATCTGCTGGTGGAAGTATAAATTTAAAAGGACCGTCAGGTGGTAATGGTTCGTTCTGGTTTAGTAACCGAAGAAATTGTGCCCAAGAACGTTTGTCTACTTCCCAAAATAAAAACTCTGTATCTCTTGGAGGGTTAATTTCAATCTTTTGAAATGAAACGGTTGAGTTCATCTTATCGTATTCTAGTTTTAGATAGTATGTTCCATTTAGTAAAGAGTCGTATTTTTCTTGAAATTCCCAATAATATTTGTTTATTTGAGTTTGAAAGTCATTTAGAGTTTTTTCAAGACTTTCGTCTGAACGAACTGTAAAGATTCTCATTTCGTCAAATTTTTCTATTAGACCATCAGAACCTTTATACTGACCGTGAAAATATACTGCAAACATAAACGCGTTAGTTCTATTTGAAAACAAAACTCTTCTAAATCCTATTGCCTTTGCATCTGAAGGACTTTGAAGCCAACGAATTGGATAGTCAAACCTGTATGTTCGGGATGAAATTTCTTCATCTGAAATAGTCCTACCAGCATTTGTAAAGATATAGTCTAACGGTTTTGTATCTGCTACTTTTGTTCTTTGTTTTTCAACCTGAAGCATTTAATATATGTAAAAATATACTGTTTTAAAATGGTATGCCATTTCATATTTCTCATCTAACAAACATGTTGTCTGACTGCTTGAGGGTTATGTTGGTATCGTTCGAGCTTGACACTTGCAATTCCTTCAATTGCATTCAAAATGTCTGAGTCTGAATCAGCCATTTGTTCTCTCTTTGTAGTCTTGAAGGCGTCAAGAAGTTTTGCAGCTGTTGTGACATTGCCATATGCATAGTATATATGACCGTCCAAATCTGTTACGGTTAGTCTGAGATTGTATCCTTTCTTATTTCCGTCTTGAATTGCAGCAAGTACACCCATGAAGCCTTCTTTGTTCTTTCCTTCGTCAAAGTTTACTGTAAAGTCTCCACCTTGTCCAATTTTAGCACGAACTTCACGATACTTCTCATATGCATATCTTGTTCTTTCCATGGGAGCATGTGTGTCTTCACCTTTTCCTTTTTTCCTTCTCAAAGGATGCAATTGTTCGTCATGTTTCCAATAGAATCTGGCAAAGCCGTCGTGTCCCTCAACTTGAGGTTCACTAACATCGAAAGGCATGTCCATAAGACGTTCTTCTTCTAACCTCTCTAGTCTGTTTGGATAATTTGCACGTGCTGTTTCCAAATCCATTTCGTAGCGAAGACCAGACAATTTGTCATAGACTTTTATGGGTCTTCCCTTCCTATATTTAAACTTCTTCGAAACTCTCCAACCATATCTTTGCAACTCTGCTTTTATTCTAGCAGACTTTCTATCCATTCTATATGGGGGCATTTTTATAAAAATAAAAAAAAATATACTGTTTTCTTTTACTTTACATAACCTCCTGCTACCATAAGCCTTTGACGCCAACCCATACCAGCCAATGAAGGTTGACTTGGTTTAGTTTCCAAACTAAACTTTGGTTTTGGTTTATCTTCAGTTTTTGGCTCACCTTCTTCTATCGGTTTTTCGTCACTTTTCGGTTCCTCTGACTTTACCCCACCTGCAGGTATGGTTGTGTCGTCAACATCTTCATAAATATCATATGCCATTTGTTTTTGTTTTCCTTTCAACTTTTTGTGTTTGTTGTAAAGTTTAGAATATTTTGACTCTAAGTCAATGAGATGTTCTATAATGAACTGTTGGTCAGTGAAGTAAACTTTTCCATCTGTTGTCTCGAAAGCTCCTTCAGACTTCAATATTTTATTTGTGAGAGTCTGTTTCTTTTTTGAGATACTAGCCGTTCCATTTCTATGAAAAGTGACTTTATAGTTAGGGTTTGTATTTCCAGACCTGGCACTTTCTATTATTGAATTTTTCTCTTCATCTGTAAGTTCTTTGACAGGTTTTGACAATGGTTCTGAACTTTTTGTTTGTGGTGTCAAATCTACCGTTTCAACTTCTTCGGTCATTTCATCTCAGTAAAAAATTTTAGTTTGGTTTGTTTTCAACTGGTTGTTGTTGTTTTTTAAGTCGGTCTAAAACTTCCTGAGGTATAGGAAGAACTTGACAAACACGTTGTGTAACTGCTGGAAGTCGACAAATCCATCTTGAACTCATTTGTCTCAATGCTGTATTGTTCATTTCATCTCAGTAAAAAATTTTACATTCCCCAAGTTTGAGGCGGTTGCGGTTGGTTATTGTTTACCCACTGTTGTGCATGGTTATATCCTCTGTTAAAGAATCTTTCACCTTGGTCCATATAGTGTCCTGCTTGGTTATAGTAGTCATTTGCTTTGTTATAATAGTCATTTGCTTGTTTTCCTACATTATCCATCCATCCTTGAACTTTTCCTCTTGTTTCAGGATTTGGAATAAGATTTGTTGCATCTCGTGCTACATCCCAACCTTTCTGTACAGTTTGTATAATAGGTTGTGCTTTCTCTTTCAGTATACCTAATGTACTCAAAATCTTCCTTCCAACTCCAAATACACCTCTGGCTATTGTTCCCACTGCGGGTAAAAATCTGGATGCAACTCCTGCTAACGCGCCAAATAAACCCATTTCTTACAGGGTAAAAAATGACGAATTCAAACAAGGACCCGTATGTTTCTAAAGCGACAAAGAAAGCACTCATGATAAAAATCTTCAGTTCAACTCCGAACGCATGGTTTATGGATATCTTGGAAAACATTCCGAGAGTTAGAACAGATGGACCACCATACTGGTTAATATTTGTTGGTCAAAATACAAGATACTGTGAAGCCATACCATTACAGTCCAAAAATATTTTAGATGTGAAAACTGCTTTGACAATATTCGTTGACAAATACCATCCAACAAAACTGACATCTGACTGTGAAAGTTCTTTCAAATCAGATGATGTAAAAAACTATCTGCGTTCAAAAAATGTAAACCAATATTTCATTGTCGACCAAAACCATTCTGCTCTTGGTGTCATTGACGGTTGTATAAAAATCTTAAGAGACTTAAACCAACCACAAGGTGGTGAAGCAAATGAAATGTCATATGACGACAAATATAGACACTTCTCCATGGCAAAGATGAGACAAGTTTTAAATATTTACAATAACCGTAAACAAAAAGGTTTGGGAAACCACTCCCCCGAAGAAATGAAAAACAACCCTGACTTAGAGAAAGACTATATATTTAATAGTTTAGTCAAAAGAGACAAACAAGAAAGAATGCCAGGCTTCAAACTTCGGAAGGGTGACAAAGTAAAAATAGAAATACCTAAACGCGACCCATATGAAAATACTATTGACTATGACAACAATGGGAACCCGACAGGTACTCACGTTCGTGTTCGTAAAAATAGAAGAAAGTATACAAGAGAATATTATGAAGTTTTAGGCAAACATGGCAAAATGTACACACTGCAAGCAGAAGATAAAACTACTATTGCCAGACCTCGTTTCAAACTTGTCAAAGTTCAAGGTGGTATACTTTCAAAGACAGTTCCTAACAAATATAAGACAACTCCTGACGAATATGCTAAAGAAGTTGAAAATGACGACTAAGCAATTCTATACCATGCGTAAACTGTCATGTAAGGTGGCATGTAGTCTTTACCCAAGCCTGTTGGATTTGTTGTGAAAGTGTGTGAATGATTTCCTGCGGTTCCACAGAAAATCCCCGCGTTTGAATCTACCGGGTCACTTGAAATATCATATCTATCCATTCCCTGTCTATCCGAACCTGCTGCAAGATTTCTATAACCTCTTTTTGTTATTGAATGTGAATGACTACCTGTTGTGTTTGTCGTTCCTGTATGAGTGTGCGGTGGAAGGTTTGCTTCTTTAATTTTCTTCGAACCTCCTGCCGTCTTTGAATATCTAGCACAGTATAAGAATTTGTCTACAATCTGCTTCCATTCACCAAAACCAAGTACTACTTCTGGTCTGGTAGAGTTCATTGACGTATAAATAGAGCCTGCAGGATATAATGTTTGAAGTATTTCAGTCTTTAATGTTTGAAG